ATCAAAATACAGTCCTAGACAGGAACCCTTTGATTACACTGTTAATCTGTAACAAGATACAGGTAAACATAGACTACTACAATTACTATCTTCTAGGGCTGTCAAGCGATTAAAAAAATTCATCCTGATTAATCGTGCTGTTAAACAATAATAGAATACCATTTATTTAAATATTTTGGATGTTTTATACATTTTCAAATATATTGATTTCAATTGCAACACAGAATACACTCCATGCATCTGATGAAGTGGGTTCTAGCCCACAAAAGCTTATGCACAAATAAATTTGTTAGTCTCTAAGGTGCCACAAGGAGTCCTCATCGTTTTTACAGAATACAAAGTGTACAGTGAGCACTTTATATTTTTTATTACAAATACTTGCAATGTAAAAAACAAAAGAAATAGTGTTTTCAACTCACCAATTGCAAGTACTGTAGTGCAATCTCTTTATTATGAAAGTTAAACTTACAAATGTAGCATTATGTACAAAAAATACCTGCATTGAAAAATAAAACAATGTAAAACTTTAGAGCCTACAACTCCACTCAGTCCTACTTCTAGTTCAGCCAATCACTCAGAAAAACAAGTTTGGTTACAATTTGCAGGAGATAATGCTGCCCACTTCTTGTTTACAATGTCACCTGAATGTGAGAACAGGTATTCACGTGGCACTATTGCAGCCGGCATCGCAAGATATTTATGTGCCAGAAGCGCTAAAGAGTCATAGGTCCCTTCCTCCTTCAACCACCATTGCAGAGGACATGCATCCATGCTAATGACAGGTTCTAATCGATAACGATCCAAAGCAGAGTGGACCGACACGTGTTTATTTTCATCAACAGAGTCAGATGCCATCAGCAGAAGGTTGATTTTCTATTTTGGTGGTTCGGGTTCTGTAGTTTCCCAATCAGCATGTTCCTCTTTTAAGACTTCTGAAAGCATGCTCCACACCTCGTCCCTCTCAGATTTTGGAAGGTAGTTCAGATTCTTAAACCTTGGGCCGAGTGCTGTAGCTATCTTTAGAAATCTCTGATTGTTACTTTCTTTGCATTTTGTCAAATCTGCAGTAAAAGTGTCCTTAAAATGAACATGTGCTAGATCATTCTCCGTGACTTCTATATTATGAAATATTTGGCAGAATGTGTGTAAAACAGAGCAGGGGACATACAATTCTCCTCCAAAGAATTCAGTCACAAATTTAATTAATGCATTATTTTTTTTAAATGAGCATCGTCAGCATGGAAGCATGTCCACTGGAATGGTGGCCGAAGCATGAAGGGACACATGCACGTTTAGCATATCTTGCACATAAATACCTGCATTGCCAGATACAAACATGCCATGCGAACACCTTCTCACACTTTCAGGTGACATCATAAATTAGAAGCAGGCAGCATTATCTCTCGTAAATGTAAACAAACTTGTTTGTCTTAGCGATTGGCAGAAAAAGAAGTAGCACTGAGTGGACTTCTAGGCTCTAAAGTTTTTAATTGCTTTATTTTTGAGTGCACTTATATAATTAAAATAATCTATGTTTCTAAGTTACTTTCCTGATAAAGAGATTGCTCTACAGTACTTGTATGAGGTGAATTGAAAAATACTATTTTTGTTTTGAATGTTTACCGTACAAATATTTGTAATAAAAAATAAAAAATAAAGTGAGCACTGTACACTTTCTATTCTTTGTTGTGATAGAAATCAATATATATGAAAAC